GCACTAAAAATATCCCCAGAATTGGTACGCTTTCTTCATATTCATGACGATGATGTAAAAAATGAGGGTACTAACGATTTTCCTATTAACGGTTAGATTAATTCTTTGTGAAAAAATATTGTTTTTTAAATTATTTAAAGTGGTTTAAAACTCTCCAATCTGTCTTTTTTTTCTTTAAGATTGACTTTAACTGATGCGGCATTACACATGACATGCCACATGAATTCTCGTTAGTGGAATTTAAAAGGAGGGACCAAAAATATAGACAAAAAATATTGCGAAAACTATTGTTTGAAGAAAATTTTTGTAGGAATTAAAAAAATCGAAGGTTGTCATATTTATATAGAATAAAAACATATTTAATCTTAAATATTTATCTTGAAGGGTGTGGGTGTACCAGATCCGAGATAATAGAGAGTATATTATAGATTATAATGAATTTTACATTGTGTTATTATGTAGTTGTCATTTGACATTGGGTTATTATGTAGTTGTCATTTGACAACAGTTGTAGTTTTTTCTTTGATTTTAGAATTTCTACGTTAATGTTTGTAATATTATTTTGAATATCTTTTTTCTCAATACTTTGTATTTTTTCAAAAAAAAAAACATGAAAAAAACTATCTCTTTTGTTTTTAGGGTTTTCAGATTTGGATGTTTGAAACGCCTCTTAACAAAGACGAAAGGTCTGTGCTAGACCTAGGGGTGTGCAAATAAACCAGTTCAACTGAACCATTTAAAAAAAAATAGGTGCACCAATTTTAAAAGTCCAGATTATTTGGCATCAAAACTGGCCTAGATCCGTTTTAGTAAAACCCAAAATATTTGGTATCCACTTTAAAAAACCAATTTCATATCCGGTATCCATTTTAAAAACAAAGTTGTAAACCTAATGTATTAATCGATAACCGTCACTTCCTTCATCATCTGAGAGTTTCCCTTCTCTTATTCTACTTCTTCGATTCATTTTTTCAAGATCTACATCATTCACTACATCAGAATCTAGTGTTTCCACTAATTCCTCCAACCTGTTCTCCAATCGTCTTGATTTCATTCTGATACGATCTCCTCTTAAAGTCACAATCCAGTGAGTTTTTCGTCATCTTTCCATGGCCCCGGTGTCAAAAAATACACAAAGATTTTTTCATAGCTCCGGTGCCAGGAAATACCCAGAGGACGAAAATGAAAAGATAAGTTTTTCGGTAAAACTTTGCTTCCAAAAGGTCTCAAGGCAATGGAATATACCTATACATGTTCTCGGGAGTTTCAAAGAAATGTAGATAAGCCTAGAAATAAAAAAAGAGTCTGGATAGTTGAATGAGATAAAAAATTAAAAGAAAAATTTTTGTATGAAAAATCATGATTTACTCATTACCACTTGAACCAATTTTAATTTTTTTCTCTTTTATGTATCTTTTTTAAATATATGATCTTTCATTTTTGTTTTCCTACTGTTGGTTTTTTTGTTTTAATAATAACCTATATTGTTAAATAAATTAGAAGGAAAGGGAGTTTTTTATTCCCAGCAAATCAATATATAAATAAGTGTTTCAAATACTAAATTGAAAACTGGTTTGAAAAATATCTAATTTTGTACCGGTTTAAATGAAAAACTGATTTTAAACCAAACCGAACTAAATATAAATTGGTTTTGTGAAAATAAAATGGTTTTATGAAACAGTTATAAAAATCAAACCTAAACCATATATTTGGACCAATTTGAATTGGTTTAAGAACTATGCACACCCCTAGCTAGACCTATTATACAATTCATTATGAACTTTGGCAAAACATGCAATTTTTTTAAATTACATCAAAATAGTCCACATAAATATTCCGAAAAGTATTAGTATTATCGTAACATATAGCCCCACTTTTTAAAGATACGGTAGGATATTACAATAAATTTTGTTGATTGAAAAATAATTATCTTGTAAAATGGAAGATAATGTAATTGAAAGAGACAATTTGATTTTTGTTTTAGAAAAGAAACCCCACCACAAAAATGGAGTGAGTGGTGTTAGTTTAACGGCATGCAAAAGATGACATATCCCACTCCCCATATATTATGTACTTATCAAGATATAATTTCTATTCCATCAATAACATTCCTCAATTTGACGTTTGAAGTGTTGTTGAATTACACCTAAGCAGGCCTGAATTCTATATACAATTAGAATCCATTAGGTGTCTCCTTACTTTAGTGTAATCTTCACCTCCACCATGAGTTTTGGAATGAGACCAATTTGGGATCTTTTTAAAAGGAATAAGAAAATAGTAGAATAATTATAATGGGGTTATTGTGATCTTATTCTAATGTGGTAAAAATAATAATGATATTTATGATATAGATAGATTATCAGGTTGAGATAAGTAGAGGTTCTACGGCCAGAGATGCGGTTGATAAACTGATTGTACACCATCAAACAATTTTATCATTATTTTTGTTGTCATTTTCTCATTTGCTGCTTGATAAAAATTAATTGCTCAAAAAGAGTGCAGTGAAGTGTAAGGTTGATGAAGATTACAGATTTTTGAAAGATAAAAAGTAAATTGTTGAAAAGTAAATTAAATTGAATAAATTTTTTTGATAGGTTTAACTAAAGTTATGAGTGTGTATGGTTTAGGTTGGATTAAGTTTGATCAAATTCATTATCTAACTCTTTCAAATTTTAATAAGTTGGATTTATTCCAACCTGCAATTTCACAATAAAAACTGATTAGGTGAAATTCTCTCTCTCTCTCTCTCTCTCTCTCTCTCTCAAATAGGAGAAAATGATAGGCACCGTCTTCCTTAGTGGTGACCATAGATGCGTCATATCGCCTCATTACTCTCACAAACCTATCTTTCTAGTTTTGGCAATGATTAGAATGGAGGGTGAACAAGATTCTTCTTGACATAACACCTATTCTCACCAAACCACTTTTGGGTCCCTCCTTAGTACCGTAGAAAGAAAAAAAAAATCTCATTAGTGGAGTTAACCTCCAAGTGCCAATAGATAATCTTATGAAGACCCAACCAGTGGGCGTTATCTATGAGGGAGTGATGTTAATAGTCATGATAACCTCTTACTCAAAATTGGTGAACATATGAATACCCCCAAGGTCGTGAACAAATAACAGGTACGTGTAAAAGAATGTGTGGGGTGAATCCTTTAGGAAGACCATGTTAGCTCGTTCCACTTTGAAGCAAGGCTCCATGATCACCTCCCTTTCATTGCATGTTTCATATAGGTTTAGATGTTTCTTGAAGGAGGTTGTAGCGGTAGAAATGTTTAAGACTAAGCCATTGGATCGACTAGACTTATAAAGATCAAAAATAAAATCGCCACCGCGCTTTATTGTTTCCAAAGGAATGGGAAAAAAGCGAATAACCCAAAAAGAAGGGAAAAGATTCAAGGTAAGGGGGTTGGTTATGCAAAGGGAAGGTATTAGCACCTTAAACATCTACGGTACTCTGCAGTAACCTCTTTGTAAAATCTGTGTATGTTGGCTATTAAAAAGAGTTATTTGCATGAATGAATCAATTTGGGAAAAAGAAAGTTTTTTTTTATTATTGCGTTCGCTCAGATCTTCAATCTAGTGCCTACGTATCCCAGGAGGAATCACAACACCCGTAGTTCTTCTTTTAAAACTTTTTAAACACATGTGTGTTGGTTAATTTTATGAGATAAGACACCATCGTCATTGTCCGTGTGGAAAACATACTTACTACCCACAATCATGAGAAAGGAGAATTTGCATCATCTCAAAGTGGAAGATATGGCTTGGATTTTAAAATCAACAATGCCTCACTCAACACCCAAGTGGAAAATATCTCTCTTCACTATATATTATAGAAGTATAGTTGTTTGCATCACTACAAAGATTGACAAGAGTCGAATCTTTTGAGAAAAATTTAAAATGAAATCCAAGATGCCAAAATGATTTGAATGAGATTGATTGACTTTTAGTATTCTCACAAAAAGGTCAAATTATTTTTTAGTTGTTTAAAGTTTGATTAAGAAAAGAATTTTTGAAAAGGCATGGACATAAATCTCAGTTTATTGTGAAAGCAGTTCAAGTTAGAAACAAGAAGAGTTTTCAAAAGGAGAGATAAGATTTTTAAAGAAGATGAAGGAACTATCCTGATGCAAGAAGGAAAAAGCTATTCTGATGCTTGTGATTGTATTAACCTCCTAAGGTCTAATCAACATAAGACGATCAAAAGGGAGATTAATCGTCTCATAGGATCCTAAATGAGCATGGCATTTCAAAGCAAGATAATCCTTCATTTCAAGTATCTTATTTGATCAATATTACACAAAGAAAACACATAAAATATGATGTATAAATTTGATTTAAAATAAATTAAAAGTATGAAGAAATAATAGGAATAAAATCTAATTAAATCCCGAAATACTTATAAAAGCCTAAAGTATTTATTTATTTTTTATATCTCTTTTTATTATTTTTTAATGCCTAAAATAAATAAAAGGAATTTAAACTAAAACAATTAAAAAAAAGAAAGAGAAATATTAAAAAGAATGAAAAAATAGGAGGTGCAAGCCGGATTCAGGGATTTTGTGGCAGTACAGGCGTCAAGCCTGTGCTGAATGGCCCATAGAATTATTGTTTGCCCAAGTTGCAGGCTAACAAAACAAAAGAAAGCAATGGGCCAAGGGGGTGTGGAACGGCTGCCCAAAGCTCAATCTAAGAGAAATTTTTTTTTTTTCAACTTCATTCCAAAAAAAAATGCATGGATTTGCAGTAAACCTTTGTTGACCCAAGCCCAGCATAGCTCCATTAACAAACTAGATTTTAACCTACTATTTCATAACTATTTTATTAAAGAAACAATTAGTGAAAGAAAAACAACTAGAAACGCATCGTTTCAGTGAAAAGGGAATTAGGATTCTTGAAAAAGTGTCGTTTGGACCTCTTCCTCTTGAAACGACCTTCTCTTTCGCCTCCGCCTCCACACTTACAGAGACGACTACCTCAACATATCGACTTCTCCAATGAGTCTCTATCTCATACAAATTCCAGCGAGCCCCGCTCCGTCTTCAAAATCACTCGTGGATTCATCTTTGATTCGCTCAACTTATGACGCCGCACAGCAGAAAAACATACTCCTTTGTTTCAACTTTCCGCCTCTGTTTCGACCTCTTCATTCAACCGTCGTCTCAATGATTCGATCGCTCAACGATTCAACCTCTGAAGCTTCCGTGCACGAATTCCGCTTCAATCACAGTTTCGCGACCTTCGCTCGCTTCCTCGTAGCGCTTCCGTCAGCTTCAAGTTTCGAAACTTCACATTGCCTCTTTGCTCGCTCGCGATTTCGCGTTAAAATCCGATCATGACCTATGTATCTTCGTTGTTCCACTTTCGTCTCTGAGCTCAATCACTTCTCTCATCTTCCTCAATCAGACTTCAAATAAAATAGAAAAAAACAAAGAAAAGAGAGTGAGAAGTACGACCTACCAACCAGAGAATCGTCCGGTGCACCTTCGATCTGAGAAAGCGAGAAAACCAGAGGTAAATGCATTCTTCTTCATCTCCTTAGATTACTCGTTATTTTTTTCGCATTTAAATCTCTTCTATCGCGATGTGTATTGCGTTGGATTGTTGCAGTTGATGTATTGAATGAATAATGATAATAATGTTGCTGCAGTGAAGAACGACGATGATGTAGTGATGATGGAGTATCTGTGATATTGATTATCATCGTAGAGAAGCAGATTCGGATTTGTTGGTGAAGATGAATTGGTGCAGAGAAGCAGTTAGAGAATGAGTTTTGGAGAGATGAAGTTTGGAGAAAAGTGCATAATGAATCGTGGAAACCTCAGAGAGAACTCTGAAGCTTCTCTGAGAAGTCTTTGCAGCAATAGATCCTCCCCCTAGATTGAAACAGAAGCCCAAATTTATAACTGTCGGCGTAGCTTCTCTGAGAAGTTTTCTACAGGTAAAAACATCTCATCCCTTGATTTTAAAAATCTGTTATAACAAATGAATGGTTGGGATTGAATCTTATTTCTCATTTCAAATTCTGTTATGAAGCTTGTTAGAGAAGTTTTTTAAATATACTGAGCTGTAACATCTGATATCAAGCTTGCTCTGAAATTCTCCTTCTGTATTTTTAATTCTCGACTTATTTTCCTCTACACTTTCTACTTTCGGTATTTTTTGTAGATATAATATTTTTCTGATTTTTCTGCTGTCACAATACTTAATGCAGGGCTGATTTATTCTTCTTGAACCAATGCTAGCCCATGGTTCTGCACCAACTTTTATTATTTATTTATTTTTTGGACTGGTTTCTAAATAATGCAGGGTTGCATTTTTGGCAGGCTTGGATAACCGCTTTCATCTTTTGTCTCAATCATTTTGTGAAACTGTTTTGAGCTTTCTGGCCACAGGTTTAGAGCTTGAAGATAGAAGACTAAGTATAGGACAATGTTTTGTTATGTAATTTTCTGACTTTGTAATACAAACATGGATTGTATCTTGTACCTACTCTTAAGAATGAAGAATGAATTTTTGTTGAGATATTCAAGGAAACTTATTTGAACCTTGTATTAATGAAACTTGACGAATGGTGATGAACCAAGTGAAATTCAGTGAACTTTGAAATATGGCATGTTTGTAATCTTCTCTTGAATCATGATGTAAACTTCTAAATTCAAGCAAATAAAATTTTGTCGGCTTTCTAACTTTATAACTTTGATCTTGGAAGTACATTTGCAGGAAATGATGAATACTTTAAGTTTTTTTTTAAATTCCAAATGATGCACTGGAATAAGTTTGAACTTGGATTTCAACTAGAACTTGTCACTTGTAAATTGCATTTCAAGTAAGCCATAAACATGAACTTTCCAAACTCAACTTTTAGTCTTCAATTCAAATCCAAAATAATTTGTAAGCAACCAAATAATTGAATAGGAAACCAAAATTTGCTTACAAAGAACCCTCAATCACATCTTCCATGCCATGATTCATGTTTCACAATTTAATCCACAAAACCGTCCTAGCTTGATAACCATTAATCTTGAAACAAAACCAATGCCTTGAGGAATGAACTAAAGAGGAATGATAGGACTTGAAGTATGAAGTCCAATGAATTTCAATTGAAATTTTGACAAACTCAAGCATGATAAGATGTAAACCCTAGCATGATGAACTTTGTTGAAGAATCGTTATCAATGCTCAAGCAAGATAGGAGAAACTCTAATGTATTTTCTCTTAGTGCATATTGATGAAGAAAGCTTGAGACGTCGAGAGGAATAAAACCTAGCTCAAGGACATTCACAGTGAATTCATGATAAAGTCTTGAGTACACAAGTCAAATCTTAATGCGCTGGTTTCTTGAAGAAATTCAGATGAAGAGAAACTTGTATCTCGAGGAATCTTGCCAAGGAAAATATCCATGATGCTTGTGATCCAAAACTCTGGTTTTATACCAAGAGTGATAAATGGAATAGTGGTATCAACTTGAGAGAGATAGTAACCTCAATTCATAGGGGAAAACCCTAATATCAAGAGCCATTTGAGCCCATGTTTTAATATCTCACATGAATGAAAGATTTATGATGTAAATGCATATGATGTTATGAATGAACAGATTAGGGGAAAAAATGGGGTATGACAGAGGTCACTCTTTGTTTTGAGGTGTAGTGAATCTCAAAGTCCTCCACTTCTAAGCCCTTGGATGAATCATTCGTCATTGATAAATTTTTATTTTCTGAGAAAAACGAGAAAAAACATAGTCAATATCGCTATTATAATCGAAGATGATCTCGTAACTCCTAAATAGTCTTACTTCGAGGAGCATGTAATCGATTGTTCCATTGACTCATCTGGAATTTTTCATGCAATGTTCGTATGTGTAATACGGTGGGAGAACTGACTTGGTTGTTTTGTGTTTGATCGCAATTGTGCGGATAGCAAGAGTCGCCACCAACTTTTCATTTATCTAAAAGGAAAGGTTGAAAAGAACAGGAAAGATCTTTGAGATGTTTTCTTGAGTTCGGGGGGTAGATTATGAAAAGGGAAGGTATTAGCACCCTCTTCATCCGTAGTTATCTACGAGCTCTTAGTTGCTTACTAGATCACTTGCTTTTGTTTGAAAGTGTGCTTGTGATGTGGGTTTTGAAAGTATTTTGAAAATGTGACTTTGTAATGGTTCTCGTTTCTATAAGAACGCGTACAAAGTGTTGTTTTAAAAGTAGTTCAAAAAGGGTGTTTGTGGAGCGTGTTTTTAAAAGTGATTTTGAAAAGGGTTTTCTTTGTAATGGTTCTTGTTTCTATAAGAATGCGTACAAAGTGTTTGTCTTTTGAAAATGTTTCAAAATGAGAGTGTTGGTGTATGAAATGTTTTTGTTGTGAGCAAGCGAGCAACTAGGAGCGAATCTACCTACTCAAAAGATCTTAAATTTTCTTTTCCTCCTCCTTTAGATGTTGCTACCTGACCATTGTTTTGGTAAGAATCCCCATCGTTGGATGTGAATGGACGAGCAAGGGTCATCGTATAGCCATGATAGCAATATTGTGAAAATATCTTAGCAATTCTCTTTGAGGGACTAAGATCATTTTTGAAAGGTAGCTTTGATAGCGTCATCGAGAGACTATGATCTTGTATTTTGATTTGTTTTTTGCTAAGATACCTTACATGCATAACATGGCCATTTTTGTAAGGCAACAAAGTGGGTTTACCCTAAGGGTGTAAGTGTGCAAGTGTATTAATTTACATGCATTGTTTTGTCTTTGAATTAGGGTTTTCTAAGCATTGATTTTATCTTCCCATACAAACCCTAATTACTAGAATTTATATATAAAGCATTAAATTATGGGGAAAAAAATACTAAGCTATTACATCATTTAGGGGAGGGGGTGTACAAATTTACACATGGGGAAATTGCAAGAAAATTAAAACAAAATAATTATTACAACCATATTGAAATAATATACAAGAAATGTAAAATGGACTTGTTTTGTTTTTGTTAAGAAAATAAATAAATTGGCTTAAGAAAATATTTTTGATCTTTTGGTTTAAAAAAAGAGAGATAAAAAAAAGTGTGTAAATATAAAAATGTTTTTTTGGTGTTTTTGGTTATTTAAAAGCTAAAATAACATAAACGAGAGAAAAGGGAGTCATAATCAGCACATTGTTGAAACGAGAAAGAACGGAAGTTCCGACTCTGATACGCTGCAAGAGAGAAAATGTTAGTAGGAAAGTAGAGGGTCAGAAGTTTTGGGCCTAGGTACACCAATTTCCGAGGTTGCCAGGAATACAGGAAAATCTAGAAGTTCTGATTGTTGAATGGGTTCAGAAGCTATAGCATAGCTGGGAACCTAGAAGTTCATATATCACTGGTAAGTCAAAAGTTTTGGTTGCTTGAGAGAGTGAGGTGATAATGTTGTTGGGTAAGGTTGTCTAGAATTTCTGATCTAGGAGTATCGTCTGACATATAAATGGGTAAAAATGTCAATAAATAAACCTAAAAAGATACTTCTAAGGCTAGAACCCAGGACCCTTAGCTCTATTGTCTTATGCGCGTTCTACCAATGGGGTGGTTGTACATCTGGTATTAGAAGCAAAAGCATAAACATGTATTACAAAGTAGACTCTGATGATAAACTCCACCTCTTTCTTCATGCTAATCAGAACATCTGCAACTTAGTCAAATCTCAACAAAACAGAAAACACAGACATAGTAATTATGGTAGTTTTCCATCATGGTTTCAGAAAAAAAATGTCAAGACTATAAATTAGAAACAAGCATGTATCTGCTAATCTTATTTTCCTTAAGAAGTTCTGAACTAATGTTCTTCCTATTTAGGCAGGCAAATACATGAAACCTCTGAATATGTACAACATCAGAATTAGGATGTCTACATTGTATTTTGAACATGCAAGTCTAACAATGCTTAAGTGATATGATGAGAGTAAACAGAAACTTACCTTGCAGCTGGAGAAGGTCCCGTGAACTGGAGCCTGGTTCTGACTGCTTGTAATGTTCTTATCAGCTTCCTCACGTGCTCAGTAGACTGGAACAGCCTTTAACTTGGGTTATGAATGGATGTAAAATTATGGAACAACCAAGAAGCACAGCTCTGACTTTTTGAGGTGGAGATTGATGGAGAACACATTACAGTCTAAAAACAAAAGTTGGGATGGCTTCTGAATGTATTCCTGAAGCTATATGGATGATTTGGTCAAGAAACACTTGAGGGAAATTGGAGTTTGAATGTAAGAATAAAAAACTAGCAGGTTTTATATTTGTGTTTGCAATTTTGGATTCCTGGACTTTTTTAGCAAGGTTTCAAGCTTTTTCTTTTCAATTTTTCCACTAGCCCCTTCACA